TATGTTTTTTTTTTGTGTAGACATCCAAATTCTTATGTAGAAATGTGTCATAATTAAATTTTCTGTAGAAATCTGTAAATTAATGGCTAAAGTTTTTCATATACATATATTTTATAACGGGAACTTACTGTTAAAAAGTGTCATAATAAAATTTATGTTGCAAAATTCAATAGCATTTTCCATTACATTGTATATCACACTTTTTGTTTGATTGTTTGAACATTAGAAAATGAACTTTATAAGAACATTTTTATAACACAAATATGTATGTACGTATATGTAGAATATTTTATGTACCAAGGTTTGAAAAAGTTGTTTAGCCTTCATTAAAATCAATCACTTTTTTCTTCATATTATCCAGCAATAAAGCTGTAAATAATACCGCAATTATTTCTTTTATTTTTTTTTATTTAAGTTTATAATGAAATGGCATTATGTAAAGCGATAAATGAACCGTCTTGTAGATAATGTGAGTGATTTCCCCGAAACTATATAAATTTCAGGATAACGCGGTATTATTCTCGGAGACAATAGACAAAATTTATATAATAATTAAATTATGTCATATTTACTAACTTTCATATTGCACGATTTTCAAATTTTGTTGCTTATTCAATAATGCAAGGCATAATGTATATGATTCCAAGTCAAAAAATAGAAAAAATCTCATAAAATATAATAAAAACTTAAAGTTCAATATACAATTCGCTTGTTTAGAGCAGAACTATCCTAAGTCCATTTCTGTCAAAAAAAATTTAAAGCAGTATCAGCTATGTGAGATCCTAATACGCTATTGATGTATTATAAGTTGTTCGACTTAAAAGTCATTCGAGCGTAATAATCCCAGTTCATACTTATTTTATTTATTCGAACATAGAATTATCATTCAAAACTAATACAAGTGTTTAATGCTGTTTTCCGAGAATTTAAATTAAAATAAAATTTCGACCTTTAATTTTCTGTCCTAAACCATTTTGCAAATTGTGACTTAGAATATTTCCGCTCTAGACAGGTGAATTGTCCATGTATTCTGGGTTAAGAGCTCATACAATGTACTTATTACCCACAATAAAATAAATGTAAGCAAAAAGCGAATTAAAATCAATCGAGTGTAAAAAATTTTTTTTTATAAAATATCGGAGATATTGGTTTTTATCGTGAATATAAAAACAAGTTGCCATTTATTTGAAAATTTACAAAAAGAAAGTTTTTAAATATACGAAAAGCAAATAAGAATATTTGTTTTTGTCAAATAAAAATTAGAAAGTGACAAATAAGAACTTTCATTTTTTTATTCATAAATATTTTTGGTCATTTTTATACCCAAATACAAAAATAAATATTACAAGAGTTGCAAATTAACGAAAAAATTGCCAAGAAACACTCAATATTGTGAATAAATTAAATTTTTTTTTTTTTTTTGACAAGTAAAATGTTGACCTTGAAAATTAAAATTTTTATAAAATTTTATTGTTTTTAAGCCCGAATCTTTTAATAAAACGTAAAATTTTAACTTAATAGTTAAGTGAAACAAGAAAAAAAGTTTTTACATTATTATATAACATGGCACTTGGCAAATATAATTACATTATACTTACATACATACATAAGTTCACCATTAAAATCACAATTAAATTAATTGACCATTAAAAAATATTGATAAAATAATTGAGGTGATTGGATATTGTTGAGAAATATTTTAGTTTTCACTATAGAATTTCAAATTTTCAAATTGACTTCCAAACCTATCACGTCAAGTGATGCAACTAACAGAATTTGAGTGATACCTCCAACATGACATTTGATCCAACATGACATGCGAATATTCAATTGCAGTGGCATTTTATTTGTAACAGCAATACGGAAATCAGTAATTACAACTTTTAATAATAGCTTATACTAAAATTTAACCTAAAATTGGAGAAATATCCCAGCTACACATTTTTAATGACTGAATAAAGTAGGACGATGAATATTTTGTATTTTAAAAAATTCCACATTTCAAATGAATTTTATGTTTTCAACAAGTTTCTTGTACTTACTCTCATGCTATAAAAAATGAATATACATACTCGTATGTACGTACCTATATACTTAAAAACTGCAATTACTTATATAGTAATTACTTGTAGCTGGATACCTACATATATTAGGTATGGAGACACCTATGGAAATAATTTATAATATCTATCATATCAAACATAATTACACTTGCCATAAATAGATTTTTTGTGGTAAGTGTAATCAAACATTACAAAATTTTATTTTAGTATAGATTTTGGTATAATAATGTACGCGAATTATCATATAACGGTAAAATTTAATTAAATTATGCTTACTTATTAATAATTCAAATCAGGAAAATTTTATAATTTTTTCTTACTTTATACCCATATTGTATTTGAATTTATTATTCAATTTTAATTTTTATTTTATTCTCGTTTTGTCTTTTTTTTTTCAACTCTCTCTAATGGGCCGTTAATCAACAATATTACAAATTCGATTTGAATTCAATTAGGAAAAAATGTCGTGTGCTTTTTTATTTACATATTATGTATATGTATTCTTAGATATGTTAGAAATTTAAGTACCTTGTACCATAGACTCCTATAATGTATATAAAGATGTCTGTGCTTGTACACATTGCGTATTAAATATAGTAATAAAACTCAAATATATTCAAACATATTTATGTTTCTATTATATATTTATATATACATACGTACAAGAATGCGTATACTGTAATATTTTAAAAATTTCGGTGAAATCTGAGAAATTTAATCTAAATTTTGGGGCTACAATTATCTTTCATTCGAAATTTATATTCAAAAGTAAATAAATTAAAAGCATTTTTCAAAATTCTAATATTAAAATTGCAGTAATGAAGCATTTATACAAAACTTAGTTTATGAATTTGAGTTTCTTAATTGTACAACAATCTAGTGATCACTATCTTATCACCCAGAACCCTTAAATGTCATAGAATACAATTGTGGCAGATTAATAACGTTTAAAAGGGCTCTCTATATCTCCCATAAGAACACATGTAAATTTCACAGCTGTTAACTGTTACTCTCTCTTAAGGTTCAGGCTTGTATTTCTGTCAGCCGTGACATGTACATACATATGTATTATAAAAACTATTAAGAAATTTATTTCAAAATTTATCGCTATAATTCCAAAAGTCGAAAGATTTATAAATAATTTTATGAATTTAAATTAAATAATTTTGTTTTACCAACTTTTACTTTAATTGTAAGAAAACAAAAAATTAAAACATTAAGTTTATTATGTACATACATACGTACATACATATATGTACGTATAATACATTTATGGTAATTCTATTAGTTATTCAATTTATTTGTAAATTTATTTGAATAAAACTTATAAAAGTTTTCAAAAAAATTTTCGATCGCTTGTTACATTACTTACATAATTATTAGTTACTCCAAATTATTGAGTTCACTTAAATAGTAACAAAACTTTTTTAATATTTGCGATGAGCTAGAAAATTTAATTTCTTGTTTTTCTTCCTAAATAAAATATAATCAAATTTATAATCGAACACAATACTTTAAATAATTTAAAAAAGCTGGTTTTTCTTATATTCAATTTTATTGCACTTTTACTTTTTACCGTTTTACGCAATTATTAATAAAAAGTCCAAAAACTTCTTATTGTTACCATAATAAAAATAATAATTTATTCCAACACTTACACTACATACTTATAATAACTATTCATACACTATATAATATGAATGTCTGTATAGTTACTCTGTGGTCAATCTATGGCACGACACCGTTAAATACAATTTACTTACCGTAATTGATGGAATTTGTCGTGTTTTGTATTTAAATTATTAAAATAATTTTTTAAATTTTATTATTTACAACATGTTTTATTTTTTATTATATTTTTACTATATTTGATTTATTTAAAAATCAAATATTGCTTAAATTAAATTATCAATCAAAATCGGTATTGGAAGATGGCACAAATACAATTTAATTAATAAAAAAAAACAAATAACGAAAATTAATGTTGTAACAATAACAATAAAACTAAAAACTTTAAAATCAAAAAAAAAAAAAAAAATCAACAATTTCACTAATATTATGTCAACAGCAAAATGAAAACAAAATTAGCTAATTAAATTTAAGCGCCAATATAAATTATTTCTACACATTTTTGTATAAAATTAGTGATTATAACAAAAAACCAATCCATGATTTATGGATACTTGTTCTTACTTTTATGTTTCGCAGAATAAAGACTAAATATCGGACTGTAAATAACAGAATACTGAAGTACTATAGTCTTTTTACCAAATTAAACAACAATTCTTTCGCCCACCTAAATTCAATAATTTCAAAACTATCTGCTATTCAAGTACATATTTCTTTTCGTTTTACATGACGGTAAAAAAATAACTTTCAAGGATTTTTGAAACTTTATTTGAGTTCAAACAATTTGAAAATTTTAAAAATACATCAGAAATCGTAGCAAAATTATGAATCGTAACAAAATTAAACATTTCTACAATACTTAAGCACAAAGATAATGCAATATATAAGGCGATGCATTTGTTACAAACGAAATTAAATAAGACATAAGTACATACAACTGTTAACCAATAAAAATATAACCATTTAAATTAAATAAATTTTTATATTTAAAGTATTTTAACAAATTGAGAATAAATTTAAATGGTAGTCTAACAGATTTCTAATTGGATTGTTAACTTTATTCAAACTATGTTATTTATAAAAGCATATTTGATGGCTATCAAGAGTTCAAGTGTTAAAGATCAGAAAAATAATCTGTAATAATTTTACAAGATGTACATATATATATAGTATTAAAATTATTATTAAAATTTTTCTGGACTTTTATCTGAACTTTACCTTTGATATTTTAATTATTAAATGTGGTTGTTTAATTAAACATTTAATTAAAATTATTTTTGTTATTTTAAATTTATTTTTTTTTTTTAGATTTTGGGTTCATGGTACGAAGTTGAAAGATCATTTTATTTACCGGAAATAGCATCTGGTTGTACAACTTTAACATTTCAACCGGAAGCTGAAGAATTTCGTTATGGTGATGGATATTATAGATTGGAAGTTGCAATAAAAACAATAAATAGATTGTAAAAAAATTTTTAATCATATTCTAATAATCATTTCAAAATTATATACTTTTTGTTTTAGAACTGGAACCCCTTCTGTAAGTCTTGGTTATGCAAAACCAGAAAATAGTAAATCATCAATAATGGATTTTAAAGTAAGTAATGTGAAATTTAGTTATGCTTGTATTATGTAAAAATTTAATAATTTTTAACTGAAGTTAAAATGTCATACTTTTTAAAAAATATCTTAAAAATCAATTAACAATTTAATTATTAATCATTGAAAAAACTCTTATGTATGCACTTTTTTCAAAATATTCTTTCATTTTTTTTTTTAGTTTAATACAAGATTTCCTGAAATAATAGCACGTTTTCTACCAGGCTCCGGAAGATATCAAGTTCTTTATACAGATTATGAAAATTTTGCTATATTATGGTCTTGTTCTAGTTTTGGACCAATTGGACATGCTGATCAAATATGGATATTAGGACGTGATAGAGATTTTTCAGCAGAAATAAGAAAAAGAATTTATGATTCATTAAAAAAATTAGGTTTAGATCCAGATCGTTTAATAATTAGTAAAAATAAAAATTGTCCAACAACATTATAAACAAAAATATTATTTTGAAAAAAAAAAATAAAAAAATAAAATGAAATATTCTAAAATAAGTTTAATATAAAACTCAAGACTGGATTTAATACCGAAGAAATTTAAAATTTATAAAAGAAAAAATATATAATTATGTAGTGTTCTTACAATATTGGATATCATTTAAGGCAAAAGAAAAACATTTATAGAAAAAAAAAATTTGTATAATTATAAGATTTATCGTCAAATTTTTTAAAGAAATCATTTTTTTTTTAGTTATAACTTAAACTAATCTTTGTATATGTAATTTGTACTGTGATACATTTTAATTTAAAAATAAAATCAATTTAAATAAGTTATATAAAAAAATAAGAATCGTTTTCATTCTTTATTCTTCTTATTATTCAAATTACTTAAAAAATTCTATTAAAATTAAATTGATTGATAAAAATTAATTAAAAAATTAAAAATTTGGGGAATTTCGATAATTCAGTTGTGCACCGAAAATTCTAAATTAAATATTTTAAGAAAATTTTTCAACATCCAACTATCCAACTAACCAACTATTTTTCCAAAATTTTGCAATTTGAATTTATATTAAAATAGACTGAATTATCGAAAATCCAAACAATAAAAAAAGGAATCAAATTTATGCCACATTTTTAATATAAATAAAAATATTTTGGGTGTAATAATTCAATTCATAAACTTTTATTAACCAAAACAAAAAATTAAAATACAAAATAACAAAAAAAAAAAAAAAGAGAAAAAATAATAAGGAACTTGAAAATTGATAATGAATGAGTGATTTTTCGACAACAATTTTCATTTTGAAATTTTCATAATTATGATTTTCTTCAATAATAAATGTATTGTTCTAATAACTTTTTCGGACGGCCTCTTTTTCTACGACTGCAAAAAAAAATTAATTGTTATTTAAACCCCACTATAATTTCTCTATTTATAGAAATTTTTCAAAATTTATAGAAGCTTATTACGACATACAAAAAACTTCAAATCAAAAATATTTAAAAAAATAAAAAAAAAAATCTTATTTCCCAAAGTCCTTAAATTCATCTTATCTAAAATAATCTGATCGACTTTCACATACATTTAAACTAAAAACAAATTATGAAACAAAGAAAAATATCTTAAAAACTACATTAATTAAAATAATCAAATCTAAAAGTCTTAATTTGGTTAAAAACAAATAAAAACTTTTGGATGTAATTGTTTTTTCCCCAAAAACAGCCCTTGATTTTTCCCTTTGTATTATCATTATTGCTACAATATTACTATTACTATAAATTTTATTATTTATATTATTATAATCTATAATTTATTATAATAATAATAATAAAAACTCATTTTATATACACAAATTTTAGATATATATATATAGATATATTTTATTTGTTTCAGTATTTACTACCTAATATAATAATAATATATAATATATATGACAAGAAATATTTTGAATTTTAGTGTTTGTTCTTTTTAAATTTATTTTTATTATATTCTAATATTTTATGATCTTACCTTTATAGTATATATATTTAGATATTTCTAACTATATATAACCATAGAGATACATTATTAAAATTACCATATATTCCAAAAGTTAGGTTTTCTTCATTTTAAATAATTTAGGAAGTTTTTTTTTATTTAATTAATTAATCTTAAAAATTAATTCTTAAATTTGAATTTATTATTTATTAATTTTGAGAATAAAATTTAAATTTTATTTTATTGAATTTTTTTTTCTACAATTAATTTTATTTTTGTGAGTTTACTTTTTTTTTCATTTTCTTTTAAAATGTTGCTATAATATTGCATTGTTTTATTGGTTTTGTTTTTTTTTTTTTTAATATAATTTCACAAATACTTTTTACCCTAATTTAATTTGCGGCAATTTTTTTTTTCTTTTTTAATTTATTTTAAAATATTAAAACATACATTTATATCCTGTCTCATAGTATGTAATTTAGTAATAAAATATTTAAATCATATTATTACTACAAAAATTTAGTAAAGCTGCAATCTATTATATAAAATCTTATAATTAAAAAAAATATACATAAAAATTGTTTTTTTTTTTAATATTCTACAAAAGCACATTTTCCAACTTAGGTTCATTTGAATTGAATAAGTAAATTAGTTAAAAAAAATATAATATGAAATTTAAGACATTGAATTATTATTTTATTAATTATTTATACAATTACTATAAATAAAAACTTGAAATACTATGTATTTTAATGCCATAACACAAAAATTCAAAACACATACTTTAGACAGTAATATTTTTCTACTAATTTTTTATTAAATGTTTCAATTGTCGCAATTTTAAGTTTCTTGAAAAATAAAAACGATTAAATCTAAAATACAGCAAATACATACAAAATAAAATAATAATTTTACTTAAAAATAATAAGCTAGAAAGAAATAAGCTCTTAAAAGTTAATACTTGTTTTTTAAAATTATAAATACCTGAAATTTTATAAAAAAATTAATGAAATATCAATAAAATTTTTATAAGTCTTTAAAAGAATCTTACATATTCTAAAAATTTAAAAATTAAAATATTTTATTAAATGCGTGTTAGTAGTATGAAAATATAAATATGAAACAAAACGACAAAAACAAACACAACTGGTGCTTTAATATGTTAAAATATTTCTTCACGTAAAACAAAAAAAAGATTTTCAAAATTTTATATCTTACAAATAAAAAAAATTAATTAAATATTAAAAAGAAATATTGTGAAAATATTATTAAAATTTGTCATATATTATTGATGTAAATAAATATAAACTTAACAGGTTTTGCGCATTTTGTAGAATATTCAGCCAATTTATTACATGTAATTAAAAAAAATACATATATCGTAATAAAAATCAACCTTAATTATATAAAAACTATTTAAAATTCATTAAAAAATTATTAATTAATATTCACACTCGAAACTATTACCTTCACAAATGAGTTTTTTAAACTCTGTTTTGTTTATAAAACAATTCAATATTTTTGAGATCTATCCTCAATAAAAAAAAAAATATATATTTTTTTTGTGTGTTTCTTAAAAATCAATTCTTCAAAAATTATTGAACGTTACAAAGTTATACTACAAATACAAATTAAATACATTTAATTATTTTGGTACACTTAAACCTAACGAATACTCTCTGCAGCTCCAATAAACCTTGTCAAATTATTTTTAAAATTAAAAAAAAAAATCGTCACTGCACAATATGTATTTTTTTTTTCATTCGACACATTTCTAATTAATCTTCTCATTAAACAAAAAAAAAAGACGAAAAAAACACGTAAATTGTGTAAAAAATTAAAATAAAAAATTATAGTTTTCTCTTTATTTTAATCTTACTTTGTTGCACCATGAAATTCTTCCAAACATAATTTGCAACTCCATGATCCTTCTGGTGGTGTTGTCAATGGCGGCTGTAAACAATACATATGATACCCACGATCACAATCATCACAAAATAATAATTGATCATCATTATCTGATGTACCACATATTGAACAATATTTACATTCAATACATTGCCAATGATATCGTTTAACTGATACTATCATATTAGGTGTAAATTGTAAACATGTTGGATGACCTGATCTTCCACAATCTGAACAAGATACTAACTCTTCAGGCAAATTAGTTTTTTTGTTTTCACGTGCATCACCCAAACAGAAATCACAATATGGTGATGGTTGAGCTTTACCACGATCATTTCTTACTTGTTTTGATGCTTTTGATGTAGTTTTCGTATTATTGTTACTGCTACTACCACTGGTACTCACATTATTATCAGATGATGAAGTTGAACCTAAATTGAATGCGCTTGCTGTATTCCCAGTTGTACTATTTGTGCTATTTGCTGATAAAGTTGCTGTACCTGCTAACAAAGATAGTGGCTGACCATCAGAAGAATCTTCTCCGGGAGACATTTTTTGTTCAGGTGTTAAAACTGGCATTTGTATATCATCACCAGGATTAGATGCTGATGAACTGTTATTTGTTGAAAGTGATGGTGGTGGAATTGTACTGGAAGCATTTGAACCTCGACCGCGACGTCCTTCACCATCCCCACGACCACGTCCTCTACCACCTCCTACAACATATTATAAAATAAAGTAAGTAATTTGGTTTTCAATATAAAAAAAAAGTAAAACATTTTAATTTACCTCTTCCACGTCCTCTTTTAACAGGAGTTGATATACCATCTGCATTACTTTTTCTTGCAGTTTTACCTTTCTTACGTCTTGGCTTACTATATGATTCATCAAAATCTAAATCCGAATCAAAATCTTCTTCAAAGTCTTCAAAATGATTTAAATCCATTTCATCATGATACCATTTAGTTTCTTCATCATTACGGTGGCTATCTTTACTGTCATTATCAGCTGCTGCTGTTAAAGAATTTGCATCACTGGTTCCAGCTAAAATATTTTAAATTTTATTTTTTTTTTAATTTTATTATATTTAATTGAAAAATTTACAATTTTTATATTAAATGAAAACATTCAGAGCAATATAAATTGAACACTATACATTTATAAAAATAAGCCCAATAACTAGATATATGTGTATATAAAGCTGTTTTATTTTGCTTGGCCATTTTCCCACTGGCATATTAAATAATGATTCATTTATTTATAAATATAAAATTTTAATATTTCATTCAGTAGGTATATAAACAAGTATAAAAATTTTCTCTAAAATTCATAAATATAATCATATGGGAATAAGAATGTACAAAAAATAATAAATTATAAATAAAAATACATATAAAAATAAATGTAGGCTGGTAGGAAGGTAGGTACCTATATAAAATCACAATTCATATAATATTTATTATACTATATCTGTCTATAACACATTCTAATTATTCAGAAATATAAAGTTTATTGCTCATTAACTTCTTTATATATAGGTAAATTTTTATTTTATAATTTTGAATCAATTGAAAGAAGACGCAGTATTTCTTTTCTACATTACATACATAATATATCATTTATATCACTATACACAAATAATATGTATTTATCTTAAAACTTGTATGATATTTTACGGATGGGGATATGTAGGTAGGTAGGAAGATAGGTACCCACTTAAGGAAAATAGAAAAAAACACAAGTTGAAAAAAGATATTCCTTATTATGCCCTCAACTTTTTTAATCTCATATTGCCATCAATTTGACTTGTATGTACATTATTATAAACTCCCCGCGCAATTTCCTCTTATTGGTTGGTAGATAAGTGAGTATACCTACCTACTTATATATAAAAAATTCTTCTCACACAATGTAAACAATAAAAACAAAACAAGACATCATCATCATATCATTAAATAAAACAGCCTTAAGCAAACTAAACACGTAAAATCAATTTTTCTGGGTCTAGTTATTTGTTGGAAAAAATTTATATGTATGTATGTAAGAGGAAATGTATCGTTTTTATTTTAATATTTTCCAAATACATATGTATACATAACAAAATAAAAGAAATCAAAATATAAATTACAAATTTAATTTTTTTTTTAACAAAATAGGGAAGAAATAAGAAACGAAATGAAATAAGAAAATAATAAAAAAAAAAGAAAAAGGAAAAAGGAATAATGAAGATACCAAAAAAACATTATGCTCACGCTTACCTGAACCAGTTTCACCTTGATGATGATGATGTTGGTAATGAGTTTCACGAAATTGAAAAGCCTTGTAACTTTGATGGTGTAACAAATATTGTCGTTTCGATTTTCGCCACCTTGACGATGGATACGTATAAATTTGTCCATCTCGAAATCCTGGTAAACGTTGTCTTTTACTCATAAACAATGCACAATGATTTTGTGCAACACCAGTTTGTGGATCTAAGAATGGCATACGAAGACGGCGTTCTATACATAATCTTGTATTAAAATTTTCACTGTTTTCTAAAATTTCTTTGTAAGCAGAATCATTTAAAAAGTTTTGTATCTTTTCAAAATTTGTAATATTTGCTATCTGTATTTCAGTTGATGCAGCCATAATTTTATATTGATTTTAATTAATAAATTACTTTTTCACACACAAATCTCTTAACAAATATGTAAGGAGAAAAAAAACGCTCAAGTTATATATTTTTTGTTTCAAACAAAAATGGGCTCTTTTCGTACGTCAATTACTTTGACTGCAAATGTCAAACATTTAAGAGTACTAAATGTTGGGCGCGTTTTTGTAAACTTCAAAATAAGTGGTATGTCAATTTCATACAAAATTTTGTTGATGTATAGTTAAAGTTTTTTAACTACATAAGCAAAATAATTTTTTTACAATATTGCTAGAAAACAAAGATATCTTATACGGAAAATAGCAAAAGTATTAGAAAAAGCCAATTAAAATATTATGTGTAGCTAATGATTAAAACTGTACAGCCATTAGCTAAGAACGTTTGTTTTTTTTTCTAACGGAAATTCAAAAATTATTATTTCAATTGATTAAGGCATTATTTCTCATATATTTTCTTATTTCCATTTTCAATAATATTGTTAATCGTTGCTGACTTGAATCTGTTTTTGTTGTATAAATCTTTCAATATATAAATAAGCGACAGCTGTCAAAAACTTAGAAACTGATAAAAATACTGTGCTCATTGTGATTTATTTTTATAAAATAGTTAACATTACAGCCAACAGGTTTTCTTTGCAGAAGCCATTGACAATTCAACAGTCACATATTTCACGTGTATTTAGAACTTGCCATAATATAAACAAATAATTTTACATTGCACATGTTTGAAATCACAACCATCTAAAAATCTAAAAGTTTGTTAAAATGAAATTAAATAATAGCAATGAAATTATTGGTAAAATTTATAGTAATACAAACTCAAAGCAAAAGTTAAAAAAATGCAATATAAAGAAATTTATAAAAGCAGAAAATGAATTTATAACAAAACTGCTAGTTGGATGTAATGTACCGAACAGAATAGAGAGTAAGATAATTTGATAAAAAATTTAAGTTCAAATAATTATATCCTTGCTTTTAGAGGATGATTCCGATTTGTATTTGTTACCACTAAAGAAAAATATCAAATTGCCAACTATTCAAGATTTCAAAGATGTGGACAAGAAAAAAGAAGATCTAAATGATAGATTATTAAAGATCAAAAACAAATTTAAAGCACCCAAGAAAAACAATAAATCTGAAAAAGCTTTAAGACGAAAGGAAATGAAAAAATTGAAGAAAAATAAAGAAATAAAAAAAATTTTAATTAATTCAAATAAAGCAGAAAAAAATGAGAAAATCAAAAGTGAAAAATATAGCGCAAATCAAGGAAATGAAGATGAAAAAGACATTAAACCTATGGCTAAAAATCTTTTTAATGAAAATGGAAAAATATTATTTTCAAAAATTGATTTTGCTGCCCATCCCGGTGCCAAAATATTGAAAAGTAAAAAAGACAAAGTTATGAAAAATCCTAGGGATATATTAAAAAAAATGAAGGAAACTGATAAGAAAATCAATGAACTAAAAGAACATGGCGATGAAGAAAAAGCCAGAGAATTGAAGAAGGAACTAATTTGGAAAAAGGCCTTCGATAAAGTTCAGGGCAAAAAAGTTAAAGATGATCGTAATTTACTTTATAAATCCATTAAAAAACGAAAAGATTTAAAGAAAAAGTCAAAGAAATCTTGGAAGGAAAGGCAAGAGAAAGTTGAACAGGACATCAGTTCTAGGCAAAAGAAAAGAGAAGAAAATATAAACAAAAGAATGAGAGACAAAAAAATTAAAAAAATGAAAAGGTTATCTAAAAGAGGACGAGTAATTCCCGGTTTTTAAATTAATAAAAAAATAAGTAAATTAAAAGTTTTAATAAAAAAATTTATTTAAATATGCAGCTATCTAAGAAGGTCCTTATATCACAATATTGTTATAGTTTATTGTCTACTATTATATTCATTTTAATAATTTCAAATTCGCCAGGGTAGAGGAATTAGAGCCCATTTTTGTAAAATTTCATCACCATCACTACATTTTTCAGCTTTAATTTGATACTTTCCATCTTTTTCATCTCCGACTGTCAGACATGTTTTATGTGTTTTATGAACTATTTGTTGTGTCTGCAACAAAGTAAAGAATATCGGTTTAATTTGCTTTAAGTTATATAAATGGAATTTTGTTCTTACCATAATATTATAATCCCAATACTGTCTTTTTGTATCATGACAGTAAAATAATCTTACATTGGAACCGTTGGATGGATCGGAATCAGGCTTTTTTGAATATGCATCCAAACAGAAATTGTCATTTGTCATAACATGACCTTCTGTTGTTATTACAAACATATCCTGCAATTTCTCTGTAGGCAAGCAATTACCAAGAATACCAGAGCTAACGAAAGACGCCCCGCCATACGTTCCATCCTCACCATCAAGACGTAAACATTTATCATCATCAAAATTTAAAGAGTTCAAGAGAGTGTCTATATTTAACCAAAGCAAATCAAATATATCCGACCATTTGCGGGGAGCAAATTTTCCAGGAATTTTATTAATTAAACTGTTGTAAACTGTACTCAATACTGTTTTGTCATTAAGCCAAACAATTTTTCCGAAAAACCTATCTGGAGCTGGGAAAAAATGTGTTGGCCATACATTTTCCAAATACCATGAAAATGATTTGCAAGACATCTTTTCTCGTAATTGCAAACGTTTTGTAACATTTAGGGTTTTACGAAATTGCATTGCAGAAGGATTATATAAAAAAAAGAAATCCGACCAATCGTCCATCCAAGCTAAGGCTGCTCTAGCCAAATTTTCTCCCAAAATTTTATCCATGCCGCCAGGAAATGTATATGGAGTGCTTTTTCGAAATAAATGACCCACATGTGAACAAGGGCTAATTTCGACAATTCCACCACACTGCCAAACTCGTAATGACATTTCAATATTTTCTCCTCCCCAAATCTAATTGCAAATTTATTTTAATTAATTCGTTAAGTGCAATTATTATTGTTCTTAATGTACCTTCATGTCTGGATCATATGAACCAATTTCGAAAAAATATTTACGATCAATTGAAAATAAACCTCCGGCCATTGCTGGTGTTGATATCGGCTCAGATATATCATTTGTAATTTTTTCATTTTCTTTTCTACCAACGGCAAACCATCTATTTGATAGATAAATTCACATTAATAACAAATAAAACTTCATACAAACATATTTCTATAATACGTATAATTATACCTAAAACTTAGCTGCCAATTAAACCCACCCCAATGATTTTCGAATACTTTTGAGAATCCAAAATTATCATCTGATATTATATCAATTACAGGACAAATTACACTTTTCCTATTATGTTTAATTCTGTGAAGCATGGGCTCTAACCAACCAGTTGTACATTCACAATGAGCATCTAAAAATGTTAATACATCTCCAGTGGCTACGTTAGCTCCTTTTAAACGTGCTGGCACTAAACCTTTTCGAACTTTCATACGCAAGATCTTAACTTTAACGGGAAAATTAACAATGTAATTTTCAAGTTCATCTTTTAAATACTCTAAAAATTGTAAATAAAATTAAGAAATCGTAAATAGGTATTGTAAATTTTCGCGAATATTAATTATTTATGTATATGATTGATATTATATTTACACAATAATGAATATAAAAAATATATTTACATTTATATTTTTTACACAATACAATACATTTACACAATAATGAATATATAAAACTGATGAGTGAATGCACATATTATAATTAGGTAGTGACCTACCTAGGCACATATTTACCTCTATCACTGGCATCATCTATCAGTAGTATTTCTTTTATTAAGTGCAATGGAGACCTATTTATAACACTCCATATTGTTCGCAATAATACTGACCAAGCTTCATTGTGGAATACAATTATAACAGAAGTTTTTGGTAAATCGGTATCATATTGTCGAAGCTGGCAGCTAAAAATATTTTATTGAAAAAAAAAACAAAATAAAATCAAATGCATAGGACAAAACTAACCCTGATGTTCGATAATCTTTAAGTGTTCTATTTAATGGAATTCTATCACTCGCTAGTAAATTAAAACTATTTATTTTGAAAAGCCTTTGCATTTTAAAACTTTCACGGGCCGGAATTATCACTGGTTTTCCCAGTTCTCCTTCTGTGTCGATGGGCTTAAAATTACTTGTACTGTAATCATCTAAAAAAATATTAAAAATTTTAATTAGTAGAAGCTCATGTAATTAATAGATAGGTAAAACGAAAAATCTACTTTCAATACCTAATTACATATAACACTATATCATTTATGTGTAGGTACATAAGTAGATTCTTATACAAATTTTGGTTTAATGAAAAATTATCTCATTTTTGTTTTTTATTATTCACCTTTTGTCATATTTCCAAATATGTTACCTGTGCCAATATAATGAGCGACAACATTTTGTATTGGTTTTTGCCTACTCTTATACTCTAATTCCCATTTTCTAAAAAACAAGCAAAAAAAATTAAATTAATTTAAAAATAAACAACTAATCACGATTTACTTCTCATTGTTTTGCCATTCTTCCAGATTTTGCAAATAAATGTTAATACAAATTGCAAACATAAAAAATGAAAAAAATAACAAGAACAAATATAATATCCATAGCTTTTTTAATTTTCTATAAGTATATCCCATGATTTATCCCGATAATATGAATGAATGATGAATTATGGAAATTTCTTTTAGTAAAACTATTGAGTTGGCAATTAAAAGTTCAAAAGAAATTGCACTTTTAATGTTATTGACCGAAATTCCCATAAAATTTGGTTCCTATTCTTTGAAGATTGCCATTATATTTATCTGGTTCTTCTTTATTTATGAAAAGTAGCTTTTAACTAAAATTTCTTACTCAATCTCTCAATTCAACACAACACTAATAAATTATTTTATTATAGTTAAAAAAAACAAAGAACATAACAAATCTAATTTTGCTCACGATTTCAATTAGACTGCGAGAAAAAATATTTTTCGTTTGTTAAAGGATCAGCTGATAAGAAAAAGTATTAGATTTAGATTTTAACATATTTATAGGATGCAACAAAAAATGTAATAAGAAGTACATACATCACCGCATATCTTGCATTTTTGTAAAAGTTAAACAGGGTTGTCAGATTATCACCAAAACAAACCCGGTTGGCATCAAAAAGATTTTTTTTTATGAAACGCATAAAATTTGCAAAAAGAAGTTAGCTGAATATATTTTTACCTTGTTGACAAGACCAACGGACAAACATGGTTAAAAGTAAGAAACTGAAGCGAATATTTCTCTTTTCTTAGGTACATCTAAACTTTTCCCATTTTTTACACTGCAATTAAAACTTTATAAAAATGTTTTTAATAAATTAATTTTCCTTTCTTCTAAAATGAAGAAAAATATAAATATGTATTTATACTTTGACATCCAAATTGTAAACTGAAAAATTTTACTTTTATTTGGCGTTTATTAGTAAAAATATATAATTCCATGAAATTTCAATATTTCATTTTCACATATACATACAATATTACACAAATTTGTAAGACTTCCACAGAAACACTAGAAACATAACAATGGAAAATAAAAGTCAAAAAAATTTTTTTTGTAAATTTGCAAAGTTTCATAAATAAAATTATTAAAAAAAAAAATGCAGTACATTTTTAATTTTGTAATTTAATTGCGTGCTTATGTATTCTACTACTAGAATTTTCAACACTTGAGTATAATGTAAATCTTCCTTACGGCCCAAATATAACAAGGTCTTAAAAAGATATTTTCAATAGTGCAAACAGATTCTAATTAATAAAACTGACGCATAACAGTCAGTCGACTACGGCTGAAAGTAATACTGTCAGCCGTGCAATCTACTCATAAAATTAATATATGTCAAATTATTCAACTTATAAATAAACAATTAACAATACTTTTAGATTGAATTTAATTTAGTGAATATTAAATTTATTTTATTTTTGAATTCCTATATTTACTGTTACTGACATGATCTAATAATTTAGAAACGATATGCAGTATAAAAGTGCTTTGGTTTTAAATAAATTCCATGTAACATTTTTAATAATTTTATGTGTAAAAACTACTGTATCAAAAGAAGAGCTAGAAGATTGCAACACCTTAATGATGGGGCAATATCTTTGTCCGGATCCAAAAAGATCACAAATAGATCCAAGGTACTTAAATTTCTTTTTGAATATGCAATATTTATCTTTTCAATTTTAGTACCCAACAATTTAGAGGTTGCACTAAAGAAAATAAGGCCAAAGGTAAATAAACATGTTAAATGAAGATGATGGCAAGAAAAAATAAATAATAATTTGAAAATTTTAGTTTGGTGCATAGCTGTTGAAGGAATAGTTTGTGCGGAAACCAAAAATAATACATTTACAAAGGAATTGCCATGCAAATGGACGTAAGTAGAAACAAGTTCGAGAAGCCTTTAAAATTGGTTTAATGCAATGTGTTATTGAATTTTGTACTAAGCATTTTGATTCCTACCTAACGGAAGTTTTTGTTTTTAGCTTTATTCCATATATCATAAACTTGTGTGCTTTATATGAATTACAGTCATAAGTTTTTATTCTCCCAATCCTAGTCTACATTCGATAGTTTAAAATGCATTAAAATGAAAATAATTGAAATTAGATATTAATGTTTATTTTGTATTTTTTTAGTAATGGATATCATTTCGATACTGCTCTATTATTGTCTGTGTTTCTTGGGATGTTTGGAATTGATAGATTTTATTTAGGATACCCTGCAATAGGACTAATGAAATTTTGCACCTTGGGCTTTATGTTTCTCGGTCAATTGATTGATATTATATTAATAGCAACACAAAAAGTTGGTCCATCTGATGGTTCAGCATATATAATTCCATATTATGGTGCTGGTATCCGTGTTGTTCGAAGTAACAATTGGACATATCGCTTACCACAAGATGATTGGGCCACAAATTAATATAGATTAATGTAATATTTAAATTTTACTTTGGTATTTTTTAAGACTGTTCAATAAAATAATTCTAGATGTAAATAATATTTGATTAAATTGGCTGTTATTATTTATTGTATTCAATTTGTAATTCATTTCAACTAAAAATTACCTATCTGAACTGATTAATCAGATTTTTGCAATCCTCATATTTTAATACATACTAGGTTCTAATACCTAGTACCTACATATTTTAATTATGATATAGAAACATTTATGTGTCGATTTTTCTCTAAATGGTTATCTCACGAAATAAATACTTCAGATCACAAGTTTACAGTAATCTGAGCTATTAAAGACAGTTAATTTTAAGCACTCTATGGGTACTTATTTTGAATTTGTTCCGAAACATGGTTGCGACAAACTGACACACAGCACCGAAAATTATGAAGTACTTACTAAAATCGTGCAAGCTGCTATAAAATATACTCTAAAAAACAAGGTATGTTTGTAAGTAGGGGTGTTAAAATTTTTTTATAAGCTGTCCAATATATTGACATAACTCCTGACAAATAGTCGTATTAGTATCAGAGTACCATTATTATTCTACCATTTTTCTTTTATTCTCACAACTCTACTTTATTTCATTTACATTTTAAATAGGGGAATCCCCTACAAAATTATTAAAAAAGTTCATTTATACATTCACAAAAACACATAATGCCTTATATACATACATATATAGTACCTATAAAATGAAAATTATATTGTAAATTAGTCTGGTTGGTGATCTGGCTGGTTTATAAATTAATGAAGTAATTTTTCGTTTAGAGTTTGAGTGAAATTTGAAGAATTCGGGGAAAATTGAATAATTTTAATTGGATACTTATTTAAAATAATAAAATACATACATATGTACATAATTCTTATACATATTATGTACACAGTATAAGAATTTAATTAACATGGTTATTTACCTATGTGACAAAATTAATTAAAATCTTAATTAATGATTAAAGTGATCTCTAAATTGTGTTATATGTACATATGTATATATGCATCTATTTAAGAGAACATTAGTAGTTAACATATGTATATGAGTACGTATCATTAAAAAAATAGTAAAAAGATTCAAAAAATAGTAGGTAGGTGCCTTATAATCCTACCTACATATGAAATACTCCAAGTGTTTTGAAAAATGTAATAAAATATACAAAATATTCAATATATTCAATATTTTTTAATGAGTTTTTTACCTATAAACTGCATCAATGTACATATATTAGCATATGTGTATGTATGTATATACATCTTTGTAAAATGTACAAATCTATGCAAATGGAGTGTGATCCTGACTTCTAAGATCACTAATTAGTTTGGATTACACATGTATTTACATTATTTACTTAAGTAAGTTAACATTGCAAATATTATTTTGAAAACTATACTAAATTAAGATAAAACAGTTCATAAAACAACTTAATTATAAATTACATAATTGATCTTTGAATTAGATTTAAATATTCTGTATGCATTACTTTTGTTTTCTGTGCTTACTACCTACTAAATAATTTCACCGCAAACCACTCACATATAGGTATTAAGTTTTGGTTTAATAAAGTTAAAAATTTTTTCAATGATTTTATTTAATCAATTCTTTATTACAGTAGTTAATTATGTTTTAGAAGCTTTGAGCATCAGACAGCAATCAAACTTCTCTTTAATAAATTCTTAAATGATAACGAATTTCATTATCGGTTACTGTATAAAAAAAAAAATAGAATTTCATAAAAATTAAAGATTTGTAATTTTTAGTATAATTTACATATGACATGATAAAACGTACGGAGTTGGACACTGAAAAAGAAAATGCTATAATGTTTTAATTGAAAAATAGTATTTAGTCTCTATGGCGTCGTTCCAAATGAAGTGCATGTTCAAAATTGTAAAAGTTCATGAAAGTCTTCATAACATTATTTGAGTCGTATGTATCTTACGTATCGAAAATTTTGTTAATAAAATATTAAATTTTTTAGACATATTAAAAATCGGAGTAAGCAGTTTTTTAAAAAAAAAATTTAATTCTGTTTCTTTTTTATGATTTAAAATGCCTCACACTATAATATTTGGGAAAACATTTTTTTTAAAGCCGACACTGCATTCAAATATAGAATATGTTAAAAAAAAGCTTGCAGCACTATTTCATGTTGAAAGTAGTGCTTTAATTCAATATTGATCTAAAATTAACCTAAAATTCTCTCATTTCACCTCTAACTAATATTTAAATTTTTCATTCTCCCAATGTCCAACCGGTAATATTATCGTAATGTCATGATAAGAATTTACTGTACATTGGCGCTGAATAACGTATTGCTTTAAAATCTTAATTTGTTTCATTAATAATGTCATTATTAAGTATTTATGTACAACAAAAATTTTCTTTAACTTGTAAGTGTGTGGACAATGTACATCATGTGCCTTAATTGTAAACACATTTAAAATAATTGAAAAAAAAATTGAAAACAAATTAAAATTTTGTACAATATAATACATATTTACCTAAAAAATAGACATGCAACATTTATGTAAAATTTATGAATTGTAAGGAAATACCATTTTATACCAAATAATTGTGTGGTAAAACTCGCGTGTATAAACGAAATTCAATAAGCATATAGGAATTCTTTAACAGCAAAAAAAGTTGTTTAGTTTAGATTTTAACCTGCGTATTTCAGTGATCGCTTTTGCACCAACATGGACGTTTTTGCTTGATTTATACAAAACGATTCAGATTTACAATTTACATTTTACAAAAATGTTACAAATTTTTTAAAAATAATTAAATTTTCTTACAGAATGCCTCGTATACACTTTCATTCATATAGTTTTCAATTTTTTTATAAGCCGATTTCAATTGATTAGCCATTGTTTTAATCTGATTGTTATTTAAATCTTGTAGTAAATTTTGGTTTTGATCCCAAAAGAATGGAATGTTACCGTTTTCGATATAAGAAATTAATTTTCTAAACATCTGTAAATTAAAAATTTATAATGTATATAATATGTGCTAGCTAAAATAAATTTACATAATAAAAATATGTTAATCTCATATATTTTAGACATTAATATACAAAACTTACATGCAAAAATATAAAAGTTGCAGAATTATTCCAGAAATCTGAACCTAAATTTTGATTTTCCCATAAAAATATTGTCTTAATAAAATAGCTTTTAAGATTTTGAATATTTTGTTTATCTCTTATTTTTTTTAATAATCTTATCGAGGGTTTTAATTGATTTTTATTAAATATAATTTCATGTTCAATCAATGTAAATGATGATTCAAATGATATATTATTCAATTTTTTATTAATAAAATTCATAAATTTATCTGGATTTGGTATTGCCCACCATTTATTTATGTTAAAATTTATATAATTTTTCGATATTTTCGATGAAATCCATTGTGATTTATAAAAAGCGAAACTTGGTACATAATCAACAGAAAATTTCCCAATTATTTTATTATATAAATTGCTCACAATAACATTTATTGTATGCGCTGGACCAGATTTATTATAAGTAATTTCATAATATTCATTATCAAATTTTTTATTTTTAAATTGAATTTTACTAATTATGCTTTCAAACCAACTTGATATTTTATTTTGACTTAAAAATCCATTTAAATCAATAAAATATTCTAATTCATTTACGATTATATAATAGTGGGACAATTTATTTGCGTATATTTTTTGTAAAGCCTTAGAAATATCAATTTTAATATAGCCTGGTTTATCAATATCAGCCTTGATTTTAACAAAATTTACATAAGGTAATTTTAATTCTATTATAATATCAAATTCATCTGGTCTTGTAATTTTAAGATTATCAGCCCAGCTTCCTAAAAAAAATTGAGAAATCAATGTATAATAATTTTATACATAAATAATTTTCATTTCAAAATAAAGAAAAAACAAAACACCTTAAATTTTATTCTAAATGTAAATATAGAATCTCATAAACATCGAAATGCAAATCTAACATTAATTCAAATTATTCAGCAATTAAATTTGTATAAATTTAATTTGCAATTTGCAATTTTGAGTTTATAAAATTATGTTAATTTAAATTTAATCTCCAAATATTAATATGTATCCTATGTATATAATATATACAGATATACAAAGTATTATGTATTATATGTCAATTAGTGACAATTTATTATTTTTCGTAAATTTATTGGATTGTTAGCTATGCAATTTTATTTCGCTGATAAAGGTATTGAATATATGATTCAGCCTATGAGTTATAGTTGCTGACTTGTATTACTATAAATTTTGTAATCAAAATTGTAATACTTGACTAAATTATATAAACTATAACCTTTTTGGAATAAAAACTAATTGCACATAATATAGTGTTATGTTATTTCATTATTTTATAATAAAATTAATAAAATATGCATAAGTAATTTAATTATTTTTGCATTTTATACCTTGAATGTAATGTCCATTATATAACTCCTTAAAAATAGGATCCGTTCTTTTAAGTGTCTGAATAATAAATTTTGTAATAGTTTCTAAATATCGTAAATAATTTTTTTTTTCTTCAGATTTTAATTTAATAACACCATTTATATTATTTAAAAAATATTCTAAATTTGGCATTTTTACTTTTAAATATACACACGTATGTATATAGGTATTACGTAGTAAAATTAAACAATTCTTCTTGTTTTGTAAGAACTCAAATTCTGGTGGGAAAAAAATTAAAAATGAATAAATTAATTTTATATTTTCCAATTTCTCAATGTACAACAGAACGGAGAAATTAAAATTTCAGTTTGCTAATTTCAGTAAAGAATTTACTGAATAAAACTTGATGAAAATTATGCACTCACATAATATGTCTGGATGTGTACTTACATAACTCAGATATACGAGTACTCAGATATACATATGCGGGCGAGTGCTCGGTTTACATACTATTAGTAGGTATTCTTTTATATTAGTTTGTTGTGCATCAATATTGCAATTACCTACATATGCAATATGTACAACAATTCAAAAATTAACATTTTATATTATTAAATCGTATATATTTCAACTTACCAAAATCTCATAAAATTTTATTTAAATAATCCGTAACAATTAATTAAACACTCACTTATGACCTATTTAATTGTATGAGAAAATCAAAACTAAATAATAACTGTGACAAACGACATGACAACAAAATTAATCACACATTCACACTCTACATTTGCAACATAACTGAAAAGAAATGTTAACTTGATCAGTATTTTTTTTTTTGTTTTAATTTTTTATTTAAAAATTTTAATTACGAATATTATAGAAGAAGATTTGCCACAAAGTGAAGTCTTCTATAAAGTATGGGGATTTTCGAAATTTTAGTTTAAAATTTAGATCTTAATATAAAGCACGTTCGATAAATTAAAATTAAGTATAAATAAATTCCTCAAAATGTAGCCTGTTCGATGAATCTTTACTATAAAAGAACCATATTCGAAAATCATAGCATGCTAAAAAATTTAAAGAATTTTTAAAAATTTGATTTAAAAGTTCCTAAAATCTTTTAGATTTTCAAAAAAGAAAATCATATACATACATATAGGAAAATGAAAGATGTTAAAAATCTGGATATAACCATATGTTATGGATATTACATCCATATGTAGTTTGAGAACTACATATGGATGTAAAATTAGTTCCTGTAGATCTTTAATTTATCAAAAATATTTTTAAGATTTGAATTAAAACTTTAAGTAAGTGTATGTCTAAATTATCGAAAATCTCCGATTACAATTTATTGTTTGTTTATAATAATAATTTCAACATACATACATACATACATATGTATACATATGTAGGTATTAAATCAGATATAGTTTGTAAATGTTTAATAATATTTTATCTAAACAAATAGCAAAGCTAACGATATTGATTGAAATGAAAGCAAAATTAAAGTTAGCATTTACATGTAGCAACATTAAAAAAAAAGAAAGCTATAATGAACAGGAAATTATATAATATCAAAGAGTTTTCTGTTAACATAAACAAAAATAGCTATAAGTATATGTAAATAAAAATATTTCTAAGAGAACTTTTTTTTATTTTCTTTTTTAATATACGCTTGTCTTATTCGTAACCAAAGTATGTACCTATGTATGTAAATTAGAAAGTGAGATTCAATCTCTGCTTGAAGTTTAATACTGTATTATTGAACTCAATGAAGTACTAAAATAGATTAATAAATCTATAATTGAAAATTAAAAGAAAAATAAACATTAAGAGTTTATGTTTAAATAAAATTATTTATTATTTTAAAATTTTTTTATTATTTCCTTTCTTTGTAGGAATATTTAATGAATTTAAGCATAAAAGTATTAACAGAAACATACTATAAGAAATCATATAAGAAAACGAGAATGTATATAATAATAAAGGGCTACATACATTTTGGGAACTAGTGGCTGAAGCGACATGACATAAAAATGGTGTACCTAAATTTGTACATTGAGAAAAACAAGTTTTAAATTTTAGTAGTTAACACATTTTTCTAGTATCAGCATTATTGTATATTTTATTGTAAACAATAATTTTAAAATTAGAGAAATAATGTTTTTGCACAAAGAAGCGCTTATTTCTATATAAGGAACTCAAAAATTGTATTTTTTGAGTAATGCCACTGTTACAGTAAATGAGCGAATTAAAGACATCGTTTTCATGCAATGTTTCTATATATACATTGAAATATTATTTAAATCCTTAAAAAAAACAAGATTGTTCAATTGCTCTTGTAACCTATAAATGGTGATTATTTCAACAAATAATTAATGTTATCTTATTATTTACACAACATTTTATAAATTATAATATTACTAAGTAATTATAAAAAAATTTTATTTAAATGATTACATTGTACAGCCGCATAAAATATTGTACATTTTTTCAATTTTAGGAGAACATTTATGTTAGTAGATGTAAATTGAAATGAATTTTTAAAAATTTATGAAATACGTTCATAAAGTAGCTAAATAAAAATTTTTTCCCTAGTTCTAATTCATAATTGCTATTACGGCCGTGGTTATATTGTAGGTGCCATATTAACATAGAGTGTTAAATAAAAACTCTTGTATATTAAAGTATTATTAACAAAAAAATATTTAATATACAAAATACATATTAATATACATACAAATTTATAAAGTACAATTTTTACTGTTTATATATGTATATAAACTATATATTACCCGTTCTATATATTACACATATTTTTATATATATTTATATGTACATATGTACATAATATTAATTAGCACATAGAAAGGCAATTTATAAAACAGATATTAATAATTTTTATGCAGAACATTGTCTGTTCTAAGTCATATACATACTATTAAGTTAATTAATATTCTTAATACTATAATCAAGATATTACTGTTAAAATAATTGGGACCCTAATCGCAAATGCAACCTAATTTTAAATACAGTCGATTACATTATTGTTAAAAAAGTTAAAATTTGTAATGAATGTACATATCCGATTTTTGGCTATATTTTGAATTTAGTTGATATTTGTCAGGTTTTATAAGTATATTTTAGTGATATTGAAAAAAAAGTTCTTAATTTTGATTTCTATTTGATCCAAATAAGTAAAGTGCTCCAAGTGTTAAGGCACCAATTCCTAGAGAAATAGCTCCAATTGTTCCCAAGCCTGTAGTTGAACTTGATTCATTATTTTCCACGTGACCATAATTTATATTAGGGGAATTAGTTTCATTTTGAGAAGTTGAATTTTCATTTTTCAAAACCCTTTCTAAAGTATTACCTCTATTCATTTCATCAATTTCGCTTTTCGTAACTAAAAATATGTACAAAATTAAAATTATTAAATTATTTTGCAAACTAAAATAAATTAGATATTAAATAATCAATTACATAAAAATATAAATATGAAAATTTTCTTTTTTAAGTTTAATTGTATTTTATACTGAATGTTTATGCAAATTATTTAATTAAAGGATGTTATTTGATCAAAAAATAATATACTTATTCAAATAAAAATTTTATAAAAATGCTTACGAAATATTTCATAAATGCTAGTGGATATCAATTTCTCCTGTCTTAATTTTTCGATTTTATCATAAACAGCTTTGAGTTGATCAAACATGGTATTTAATTGATAAGATGTTAAATTATCAAGCATATTTTGATCCCAATCCCAAAAAAATGTTATAGTTCCATTTTTGACACCTTCAACTAGTCTTTGAAACATCTAAAAAAAAACGTAAAATATTCTATTATATTTAATTAAAATTCTATTATTTCAAATATGTATTTTACATGCATAAATAAATAGCTTGTTGGTTTATTCCAAAAAGTTTTATTTTGAATTTCATTCTCCCATAAAAATAATGTTTTAATATGATAGCTTTTAAGATTTTGAATATTCCATCTGTCTCTTAATTTCTTTATTAATTTACATACATTTTTTAATTGATTTTCACCCCAAATCATTTCCCGTTCAATAGTTGAAAATGATGATCGAAATGAAAGATTTGGTTTCTTATCATTGTGGCGAGCATAGTCAGGTTTTGGTATAGCTAACCAACCGAAAGAATATTCATTAAGAACTCCTCTTTTAGCAACCCATTGTGACTCGGTAAAAATAAATGCTGGTACATAATCAATTGAAATACTTATGTTTTTATATTTGTTATAAATTTTAATTGTTTGAGCTGGTCCACATACTTTACGATCTAACTTATAATCTGTGCCATTAATATTTAAATGAACAGTCGAATTATTACCAAGTATATTATAAAACATACTTTGAAACCAAGATGAAATTTTTTTTTGATCCAAAAAATTAAATTCATCTGTAGATTTTGTCAATCTTTTATATATTTCATTGTGAGTTGCTGTATTTTTTGGCATTGTCTCTAATATTTTTGTAATATCAATTAAAACGTTACCAGCTTTATTAGGATCGGCAGTTATAATGGCTAAATCAAATTTTGGTAACTTCATTTGTATAATAATATCATATTCATCAGGTTTTTTAATCTTTAAATTATCCATATAGCTTCCTGGAAAAAAAATTAAAAAAAAAAAATAATAGAAAAATTAATTTTTTATTTAAAATATTCATTAAATATTTCTTCTTTATTTTAAAAATTTAAATTTTAAATACATAAGTATGTACCTATGTGTACTATACCTTGGAAATAGTGTCCGTTGTATAATTTTTCAAAAACTTTGTCATGATTTTTTAATTTTCCTATAATAAACTTAGTGATGCATTCAAGATCCTCCATATAAATTTTACGATCACCAGGTTCAAAACTTATAAAACGATTTATTTTGTGAAAAGCATTATCTAAATTTTTTGATTCCATGATTTTCTGCAATTGATAAACAATTTTTATTAAAATTAAGTGAATCTTTATAATAGCAATCAGAAATATTTTTAAATAAACAAAATATTTGAAATACATAAGATTTTGAAGCAAACCTGCCTTTCTAAGCGACTATCTAATGCAGAGAAATTCTTTTCAATAAAAAAAAAACAGTATATTACCTTAATAATAAGGCGAAAGAAAATCTAAAACGGTGAATTACCTTATTTGAAAAAAAAAAAATTAAAATACACGTAAAAACTTTTGATAACGATTATATTACAGTTTAGAGTTGTTTATTGTTGTATAATATTAAAATAAAATTTTTCAATAACAGTTATGTATAGGTAGTTGATAAGATTTGTTTTTGTTTTACACACTTTTGCACCTTGACGAATTATTTTAACTTATTTATACCTTTAATACCATTATTATCAAATTACAAGTCATTTCCATTTACAAAATAAAGTTTCCAATATTCATAAATCACAAATTAAAATAAATTTTTAAATATAAAATTGAACTCATATAATATTCGATCCCATTTTTGATAGATGCATAAACTTTTATGAGAACAACTTAACGTTAGATACTGTTTACATATACGAAAAAATCTAAAATTAAATAAATTTACGATAAAGTTGGAAAACTGCTTACAAAATATCAGACTGAAATTATTTGATGATCTTTAGACATAAATTTAAAATAGAACAAGAGCAATCTTCTCAGTGAACTGTCAAACTTCATATAGATTATTTAAATGGGATTGCCCAGAACCAAGAAAAATTACCGCTGCAAACATAACCGCCGAAGATAAAATAACCTAAAATTCTACATTACCGCAGGCGGTTTTTTTTTTTTTGACATCGTCAGTTATCATGCACGTGTGAAATTATGAAAAATGCTAAGCAATTGATTTTGCCGTTTCGCTGTTTTTTACTGCTTTGGTTCTATTTTTACAATTAACATAAAAATTTTGCTTATAAATTTATCCAACTATTGCTTTTGAAAATATTAATTGTGATTTTGCTTTTAAAAAATTTGACAGGATTTATATATATGTATACATATATTCATATACGACTTTCATCAAACTAAAATCGCAAATTTTATCGTATTTATGTAAACGGTTCCTTAATGAAAAGTTTGCATTATTTTTGAAATATGATTTTATCATTTAGGTAATAAATAATAATATAGGTGTTTTCAATATAATGTATGTAACATAATATTAAATATACATACATACATATGTAAGTATATATCATAAAAAAATAACAGTCGCTTTTGGTTACCCTTTTTTATATTTTGAGTAGATGCACTTGTAAATCAGTTTATAGCAAACAAAATACATACAATTGATGAATATAAATATATTATTATTATTATTATATTATGTTTATGTATCTGCATGTAAATTTTTAAAAATATTAATAAAATAATTATCGTAATATACTTTATCCCACGTAATCCAAAAGCGAAATATAAACTAATCTCATTTAGATTTTTTACTTTTCATATGAATACACAATTTATAAAAACGTGTGCGTGTACGTGTATTAAATAAGAGAGTTTTTTTGCTTTATCTTTATTATATTCTTATCATCATGAATATACAAATGTATACATTTATGCTCATACATGTATATTAATATAATACATATGTGTGTATATACCCGGATGGCGTGTATTAATATGTGCAACAATGTATTAAAACGAAAACCACTTATTAAAATTTAAGAGAAATTCTCATTTTCATTCAAAAATTTTATTTTTATATGCACTTAAGTTTTTTTAATTATAAATATTACAATTTATATTCTCATATTTATAATAAAAACATTATCTTAAGAATATTCTTTTCCAATATTTCTTAATTTCTTTTGTAGATATTAATTTGCTAGAATTTTAAATAGAATATTTTGTAACAAACTTATTTTTGTTGTTATTGTCAAATAAAGCTACATGTGTATATAATATAAGTAAATACGAATACAATAGCAATAGGTCACTCAAACAATACTCATTTAATATTTAATTTTCTTTGGCCAAACGAAGATAAATAGAAGACAACTATTTCATGCTCACGAGAATAAAATATTTTAGAGAAAAAAATTAAAATTGTATTGTATAAATTAAATTTATTGAAGCTAAATGAGATTGACTGAAAATCTTTAGTTATTCTTTGCTAAAAATCTGACAGTATTTAGTAATTAATTATTTTGAAAATTTCCAGTTAAAAATCATGTTCGCAAAAAATCTGGCAAAATTCTTACCAAAAAGTCAAAAATCTGGAAATTCTAGATAAATTTGGCAATCTAGCAGCTCTGATTTAATAAATCAATAAGGAAGAGACTCTGTACCTACATACATATTTCACTTAATAAAAATACATATGCATGTACATACTCGTACATATGTATATTTAAACTATTATCATTTCACGTGTGCATGTTAAATGCAATTTTATCTTAAAAATTATTTATAAATTAAAAAAAAATGTTGACATTTTTCTGGCTAAAATATTTTTAATTATATGTATGTATAAAAATTTATAGTATAACATTATTATATTTATTATTTTTAATTTTTTGCTTTTAATGACAATTTACTTAAACCTGATGTTAAAGAACTAATTTCAACAATATCAGTTGAAAAAAGTTTTTTAATTTCTTTTAAAATTTTTTCTGAATTATTTCCATACTTTTCTAATATTTGTTTTATTTCGCAAACTTTTTTATCAGCTTCAGTTTGATTTTTAATTTTTGAATTTCCATTATCAATTATTGATTGCAATCCTGGTGTTTTTAAATTATCCGATAATAATATTGGTATCTCAGTTTGTGACAAACTTTTAAATAATTCTTTCTTTTCATCTGGTGTTACTGTAATTTTTTTGAAAAAAGCAAAAAAAAAAATTAATAAAATTACAATACACATACATAATATGTTATTTTTGCAATATATAACGAAGTGAAAAACCTATATCAGCACAAATGCAATTTTTAATTCTAATTTCATATCGCAAATATACAATATATACAACTAATATTGGTTTCTATAGAATATAAACATATATTTATGTATAAATATAATATATTAATATAAATCAATTGTGTCAACTTGATATTGCTACTTAAGTTTATAAAAAATTACAATATTTTACTTGTAAATTGCTTAGTTGAATGTAATTTTTCAGTCTCATCTATATGTACATATGTACGTATGTATGAGAGCTTTCGTTGTTAGCTTTAATGAAACACAAATAAGCAATCAAACAATAATTGCAAAACTAAAAATTGTATTTGTGTTCCAGGTTTAATAATTAAGCGCACAATATTTGCACTATATAAAATAAAGAAAATTATTTGTGCTATGTTGTGACTTTTAAATTTTAAACTGTTTAATACATTCCTGATTTTATTTACTTTAAAAGTTTAAAATATCCTTTGACAGTTAAATGACATTATTTCTAATGAGAATGAGAGTATATAAATACGCAATCGAAGCAAATTGTATTGAAAGTATTTTTTTAATTTTAAATTTTAAAATTATTAAATTTTTTTTTTTTGAAACCTAATTTATAGTGATCAAAATAGAAAAAAAAGGAAAAGATAAACTATTACTCACAATATGAAAATTACAATGTAGTGAACCGTTAGCGCAACACTAAACTAGAGTTGGATAGTTTTTAATTTTGTTGATAAATAAAGAAATTATAGGATATCAAACATTATGAATATATAAGTACATGTGTACTTATATATTCATATGTATATATACAAGTACAAATATAGTTTTTAATTTATTTCGATGACTAATTTATTTGACAGTAGTTAAATATTTTGAATTAATTGTTAAAAATATCCAATCAATAAACACAATCAAATATTTTATCTGTAGAATTTGATAAGACCACTTTAAATATCTTAAACTTTCTCTAATAATTTAATAGATTGTTTTTATGATAATAGTAAGTAGATATTTTTCAATCTTTCCTTTTTTATAATTTGGTTTCTCTATTTTAAATCTTAATTAAAAATAATGTATTATGAATGGTAGGTAGTTAAAATTTACAATGTACGAATTGAATTACATATACATAAATATATTTGGTATACATATAAAATACTTACAGAATAAATCATAAACTTTACTAATATTGGTTTCCATAATTTTTCTTGCACTTGTAATTTCATTTAAAATACTTTTAATTTGATTTTTATCTAAATTTCCAAGCATATTTTGTGATCTATCCCAAAAAAATGGTATATTTCCTTTTTCTAAGTATTCAATAAGTCTGTCCATCATCTGAAAAAATAATCAATTAAAGAATGATTTGCAAAAAATGCCATATTAACACATATTGTTAAAAAATTATTCTATTTCAAAGAGTTTCTTTAATTTAATTTTTCAACATTTAATTTTAAAATTATATAGATATTTTAAGCGTCTATGATACTTACATGTAATAATACAATTCTTATTGATTTATCCCAAAAATTTTCTGGTTGACGTTCTGTTTCCCATAAATAGATCGTTTTAATAAAATATGATTTTAAATTATGTAAATTTCTTGTATCTCTTAATTTTTTTATCATTTTTAAAGTACTTTTTAATGCACATCTATCCTTAATTAAATGCCTTTCTGTATCGACATATGATGTTATAAAACTAATATTTGGTGATACTGAACTTTTAACTGGTTTAGGTACTGCTATCCAATCTTGACATTTTAATGGAGTATTTGATGGTAATGGCCTTTTTGCAATCCATTTTGTTTTATCAAAAACAAATGCTGGTACTAAATCAACTGAAAAAAATTTTTTATCGATGGTAACATTAATTGTATGTGCCGGTCCTGATTTCGTATATTTTATTTCATACAAATTTTCACCATTTCTAATTATCCATTTACCATTATTCAATTCATTTAAAGCTTTTGTCATTGAACTTTCTATCCATCTTTGAATTTTCTCTTGAATTATAAATCCATCTTTATCAATTAATTTTTCAAAATGTTTATAGATATCTTCATTTTGTTTTTCAGTTTTAATTTTTTCCATTGCCTCTTTTATATTTATATTACAATAACCAGGTAATTTTGGATCTTTAGTAACTTTAATAAGATTACATTCGCGCAATTTCAATCTTAGTACGAGATCATATTCATCAGGTTTACTTATTTTTATGTTATCAGCATAACTGCCTTAAAATTTTTTTTTATATAATTAGACAAATTATATTTACATACATGCATTTATTTTTGGTATATAAAATATTTTATTGTTTATTTCATATATTTTACCTCCAAGACAATGTCCTCTATAAAGTTTATCGAAAATTTTATCGATTTCTTTTAATTTCAAAATTATTGTGTCCCTCACGAAGTCATAGTGCTTTGCATAAGGGCCTCTATCTGTATTACTTATTGTTATAAATTTACTGTTAATCTGTTTTAATACTTCGTCGAGTGTTGACATTATTAAGAACTCTGAAATGTACTATAAATAAAATGTATATTAATGTATGTATGCGCATATATATGCAAAATAAATAAAATTACATTACATTTTGTATTTAAAAATTATTAATATTAAATAACTTTAATTTATTTAACCAAAAGTTGATTATTGAAAATCACTTTATTATTATTTTTTCTTTATTCTAATATAAATACGGTAAATTATATAAATTTTATCTTATATTCGAATATTTTCTATTAGTTTATTTTTTAATTCAATTTGAATTTAGAATCAATATGCTTGATTCTCTTTGACTTTTGAAGGCGATATAAGTTCAATTGATATTTTGAGAAAAATAAATTTTGCTTTAATAAATTTAACAAAATGTAAGTAGGTACATAATTTTGTTAAATTAATTCTTATATTGAAATATAGATTCAAGGCAATTGAATTACATTTTATACAAAATATTTAATTTTGTTAATTTTTTTTTTCCGCTAAAAATTTTGAATTTTCCTAATTTCAAATTCAATAAATTTAATTTAATTTAATATATGAATAAATATGTATACAAAATGCACAATTATAGTAAAGCTATCCCAGTATTTATATGAATTCCAGATAATTATTATCAATTTTAATTCCATAGTACCTACATAGTGGGTAGAAGTACCTACACTTCTTATTCATATGTACATACACATATGCATAGGTACGTATTTTTAAAATTATTTTTTTAAAATATCCAATCTATACATTGTACATATCAAATTTTAAATTTGCGTATTTTATAACACGAAAATATTGCCTATATATACGAACAACTCCATACCAATATGCATTTAGAAAAAAAAAGCAAATTTGTTATACATAACTGAATGTTATCGGCTTTTTTTTTAACGATGCAAGTTGCAATATTTTTTTTTATTAACACGTTGTATACGCAATGATTCAAAATCATTTAACCATTTATAAAATTTTTACAAATTTATAAATTTATTTAATGTTAATTCATATTGAAAAACAAATTACAAATGTCACAATTTTGAAAAATAAAATTTAGATTCTTTTTAAAAAACAAAACTTACTATTTTTCCAAAAAAAAAAAAATGAATTTTAACGAGAAGAAATTCTTTTTTTAATCAATAAATTAAAAACTATCCAATAACAAGCTCTTAAATCACTTGACCCATTGTAGTCCGGTTTTCGACTCACACTAACCTTCAGGAATTAAAATTTTCTCATTTTATATTCTACTGTCCAGTGTTCCCACTTGGTAAAAACAAAATGTATCCAATTTCGAGGAAAAAATGTATCCAAAATGTATCCAACCTCATAAAGCAGAATTTTTATACCAAGCCGTCCTATTGTTGGTTTTTTTATTTATAGTAAATTCTTTAAGAAATCACATACAACTTCTATTATATTTTAAATGTGTTAAAAGTTAAGGTCTGAATATGCATATGTTTTGCATATATGTTGTTGAACTATGTGCTAAAGACAATTCACCATTAAAACGGAAAAATTTAAAAAAATATGTACAGCCAATGCATTTTCTATTACGACTAGCTTACTCCAAAATATTTCTGGTATGTTTTTGTCTAAATGTTCTAGATTTGAATACAGGAAGAGGCAGCACTCATTTAATAAAGCAGATTTCTTACTTTCCTTTAGTAAACTCGGAAATCTGCTTAGAAATGCCACGAAATAACACTTTTGAAAGATAAAGCAATTACGCGTTTTAATATTAGCAGCATTTTAACAGTTTTGTAACATTTATTTAGTGTTTAGAGAATAAATGTATCCATATTTCAGCAAAATTTTGAAATGTAGCCAATTTCGGCATTTTAGCAGATTTGAGTATCTTTGTATCCAAGCTAAATTTAAAGCAAAAAATGTATCCAAATGGATACAATTGTATCCAAGTGGGAACGCTGCTACTGTCACTACATTATGTATTGCATATACGATATAGCCATGTAGGTATATTGTAAAATTGAGGTTGACTACAAATCTTTATACGTACAAATAAGACGTTTATAAAAATTGAGTTGACAAATTCATAATTTATGATTGTATCGAATTTTATCTGATCGAAATTAAAAAATGTAAATAATAGTTATAGATAAGTTAAGTTAAATTATACTTTATTATAATTTCAGCAGGATTACAAGGTACGTTACGATTGTTTAATGTCATTTATATATGCATTCAACTTCTCCACTCTTACTAATTATTTTATGTATAACTCTTTGATCAAATATACAGGCGAAAAATCTACAGCCTATTGAAAAATAATTGATCTTGTACTTTCTCTTTATATAAATCAATTCTAATAACTTCGAAATTGTATGACACAGACTGGCCATTAGGCACTTTTTTTAAAGATAATTAATAAATCTTTATTTTTGTCCTCACAACCTGATTTTTTAGTTATTTACTATGACCTTTTAGTTATCTAGAAATAGGTATCCAAAGTGAGAATTTTAGATTTTTATTAAATTTTTTTACTTTTTTTGAAGTAACTTGTGTTATATTAATATTATATATAAGTATAACATACATATTAAATATAAAGTGACTCTTTCTACTACTAGAGAACTACTCTTTGTAAGAGAAATAAAAGTCAATAATGTATTTATTTTTTTAAAATGTTAAACTCCGAAATTTGAATTAGGTTCTTCTACTCTCTAATTTCTCAATGTTTTCATGTATTCACTCATTCATTTAAAATTTGTTTTATTTTCTTGTTGACTTAAAAAACAACGCAACATAATTTATCAAACATAAAATTATACGAGTTAAGTACATAGAACATAATTTACACAATTTTTATCCTATGGGATTTTAAATCGCATATCAAATTTTTCGAGTCATTTTAATATAAAAGAGAGTTTTCAATTACAAACTAAAATACTTTCCTATTAGAATACAAATACATAATAATAATTATTAAAGTATGTAAAGTAGAATTTTGCTCTAGTGTTCGTTTGGTATACACAAACATAGGCCAGGTCAGGCGGCAGAAAATTGAGGTAGTAATATAATATTAAAAAATTTCAACGAAAATTTAAATCGGATACAATCTGTTTTTGTTTTTAATTTAACAAAATTAAAAAATAATACAACATTTAGAATTCATTCTAAATTGAAAACCCAATCCAAAATTCAATTGCAATTTTTTGCCTGGCCTGGCCTTATTATTGCAATTTCCTGCATTATAAATGACTGACTTTCTTTCAAAAATTGTGACACTTCTAAAATGATAAATTTTTAAAAATATTTGAATTTTTGGCATAGTCAAAAAATCAATTATCTATGGTAAAAACTTTTAAAATTTAGCAAAAAATTAGAGTATTATAAGAGTCTGCTTTAAATGTTAAATAACTAACAGTGACAACTGACTATATATCAGAAAGCTCTTCTTTCGCAAGTCACCATTCACCAATCACCACAGTCACACTCACACGATTTCTGTTTTCTCTCTTTTTCTCTTTTTTCTCTTTTTTACTTTTCTCTTGATTTAAATATACATTATTATCTTACTTAATTGTCATAAATAATTTCTTACACAATTTTACTTATTATCATAATAATTTTTTTAAACAAAACTTGTGTTTTATTAAACTGCGTTAACTGTTATAAAAATTATTTACATTTTAAAGGTAACGTTATATTTAAAGGTTTATTCGGAATACTAACTTAATATTATACAATTCAATAGGTTGTAATACAAATAAAATAAAATATTATTACTTTTTCTGTTATTATAAAAAATTAGAGTATTATAAGAGTCTGCTTTAAATATTAAATAACTAACAGTGACAACTGACTATATATCAGAAAGCTCTTCTTTCGCAAGTCACCATTCACCAATCACCACAGTCACACTCACACGATTTCTGTTTTCTCTCTTTTTCTCTTTTTTCTCTTTTTTACTTTTCTCTTGATTTAAATATACATTATTATCTTACTTAATTGTCATAAATAATTTCTTACACAATTTTACTTATTATCATAATAATTTTTTTAAACAAAACTTGTGTTTTATTAAACTGCGTTAACTGTTATAAAAATTATTTACATTTTAAAGGTAACGTTATATTTAAAGGTTTATTCGGAATACTAACTTAATATTATACAATTCAATAGGTTGTAATACAAATAAAATAAAATATTATTACTTTTTCTGTTATTTTTACTATATAAAATTTACCAAAAAAAATCACTTTTATCTTACTGTTCCTTGGGGCCATTTAAAAAAGAGATATTCGTAGTTTATAAAGTAAACAATTTTTTCGGGGCCAGATTGGCGTTCGAAAATATCGTCACACAAAATTTATAAAACTCTTCAAAACATTTTCGAAAATATGAATATACCGCAGAACTAAGTACTTATATTCACAATATTTCCTTTTTTTCGAAAGATACCGAACAAAATTTTTTAAAGCTCTTTGTAGTATAATATAATTTTATATGTATGTATTTGTTATATAGCTTTTCATTTTAACTTAAAATTATTATCGGGTTATTAGCGGCCATAAAAGTGTTAGGTTCATAAATGAGGCAAAAAGAGAGAACGTTTATAAGGCTTATATTTCTTCTATAAGTAGATAAAATTTATAAAAAATTTTTTATTGTATTTTAATTTTTATCACAATTTATTTTTTTTTTTATAATAAATTTTTTATAATACTTTCTTTCTTAATGTATAAATTATATTTTAATAATTAAAACATTTAATTTTAAAAATTATTACAAAAATTAATATAATTTTGAAAAATTTTTTATTAATTGTATTCAATTAAATATAAAAGAAACCACTAAAAAATAAAATAATACTGATTTTTTTTTTCATATCAAATCAAAAAATAAAATAAAATTTTTCACAATCTAAGTTCTCGAAATACGACAAGCTCTAATACGATATTTCGAGTTACGATACTGAATTTGGATAATTTTTATTCGACTTGCGACATTATTGCTGATACGACATTTTGTCATTTGGCTTAAACTTTTCGAAAGAAGAAAATTTCCTAAATTTTTAAATATAAAATCTCTTACTAAAATATATAAAAATGTACTAATATACTAAATACTAATATACTAAATATGTAAATATACAGCGTACATATATTAACTTATACATTGTTTTAATTTAAATATAAATATACTTATAAATAATAAAATTAATTAGTTATACCGCTTATTTGATGCAACAGTGACATAACATAACTCAAAAAAATACGATTTTTGAGTTATTTTTAATTAGAGCTTAAACATTTCTATTATGTGCAAAAACACCATTTCATTAGCTTAATTAATTATTGCTTACAATAAAATATTTAAATAATGCTATAAGGAGAGAAAAATATTTTTAGCTCCAACATTGTAGAATTCGTTTTTCTCAAATGTGGAAATTTTGAGTTATGTCGATGTTACAGCAAACATATTTGAATAAAATATTAAAAATTTCTTTAAAACGAAATTTAATTATAAAATTTTGGCAATTTGCAAAAAATTCCTAAATTTAGATATTTTTTCTATAAATTCAGTACAATATAACAGTTCTATAAATTCTATAATAAATACTATTGTATAATAAATACTAAAATATAAAAAAACATGATACATTTTTTTTTCTTTTTTGGTTTTTGTTTAAATTTTCACAATATCATTGTAGCCTTTTTTTTCGAATGAAACCTTTTCTGATGAAATCTTTTCGATTTTGATCTTGTTTTCTCTAAATTTTCTAAACTCATAGAATTATTTTTAGAAAGATCTTGTTGTTTTTGTTTTAAAACTTCAATTTCTTTTGATGTTACTGAAATTAAAAAAAAAGTTTTATAAATTAAATTAAAATTTTAATTATGTAATTACTGTCTGTAATTAGGTAATAACAAAAATATATGACAAAAACATTATATACTCAATCGATATATGCTAAATTGGTATATCTTAATTGTGATCAGAATGTTAACTAAAATTTAATCTTTATATAGTCCTTTTCGTCATAAATTAATTGAAGAAAATTTTTACGGTCTAACACACACTTGATTTGTCAAGTTTTTTTAAAAATTAATATTTTTTAAAATTAATTTAAATTTCAAATAGCATGTAATCAATTAAATTTATGTATGTATATGTTTTGTAAAATGTCATGTATCTCTCCCCCCCCCCCCCTTCAAAAAATTAAAACTAAAATTTTTTTATTTATTTACATGTAATTTTTAGTTATGGAAAAATCTCCGAAAATGATAATAATTTACCAAAATAATTATTTTAATCTCTTATTATCATATAATATTGCATATATTTAGGCGAACGTTATAAATAATTTACAATACAATAAGACTCAACAAGATCTTTTCACAAACTTGTTGCCTATACAAAAACTATTTTATATTGGTGTTTATGAAGAATAATGTTGCTAATATAGTTTGTTTATAAACAATCCAAAGTATAATAAGCAATAATAGTGAATAAGAAAGCGAATAAATGCATATCCATCAGTATTGAATTTTACCGTTATTCTATTGCAGTTAATGTTTTACAGTTTTAAAGTTAAATGTCTTCTCTTTTTAATAATTATTACTCCTTTAAATTCTTGGAAAATTTTAATTTTCAATTGAGTAAATAAATATAAAAATATAAAATAATAAAATAATATTTTTTTTCTTTTATATATACAGAATGTTTCACATAAGTGTATCTGCACCGCTACAATTATTTGGTGGAAATTGATCAAAGAATCATCTTTAAAATTATTTGCAATCTTATATGTGAAACATTTTGTATATATGAAAAATTATTCTTATTAAAAATATAATATACTTACGAAATAAATTGAAAATTTCATCTGGATATTTTTTTAAAATTTTATATGCTCTTTCAATTTCATATTGTATTGATAAAATTTGATTTGATTTCAAATTACTTAACATATTTTGTTGTTTATCCCAATAAAATGGAATATTTTGTCTCTTTAAATAGAAAATGATTTTTTCAAGTACCTACAATACAAAAAAAAAATTAAATTTATTAATTAAATATAGATTATAAATATTTATTTTTTTTTTAAATTTTAATAATTTATTTCAATTAAATTGCCTACTTTATGGTATATATCTGCTTATATATAAAATTACATAATTATTTTCTGATCTTCTGGATGTCTATATTATATATTATTTAAACCTTCGAAATTTTGATTTTCGATTCACTTGTATGTTAAAATTTCAAAAGCAATTATGATTACATATTTAAATTTTGTTTTTTTTTAATTTTACACTTCAAAACTGCAATAAAATATACAAAAATCAATAGTACTTCAAATTTAAATCGATATGATCTCATATATATATATATATTTTCATATATATTATATAATATTATATAATATAATATAATATATATATAATATATATATATATATATATATATATACATATATATATATTATATACATATATATTATATGATATATTATATATATTATATATGTATTATATATATAATATATATATCTATATATATACATATATATATATATATGAATGTGTAACTATATTTACTTTTAATTAAAATTTTAAACTCAATAAGAATTCGAGCTATAATACACATATACATATATGTAATTTTCTTATATGTAATTTATTTTCCAGCATTATTTTAAGCACGCATTACACACTAATCTACTTAAAGACGTCAAACAAAAACATTTATTTTATTAAAACTTTTAATGCTATACGCAATTTTTGAGGAAACGCTTTAATAACTCTTTAAATATTTAAATAAAAAAATATATATATAATATATATAAATATATATATTATATATATAATATATATATATATATATATATATATATATATATATATATATATATATATATATATATATATATATATATATATTATATATTATATATATATATATATATAATATATATATATATATATATATATATATAAATATATATATATATATATATATATATATATTATATATTATATATATATATATATATATATATATATATATATATATATATTATATATATTATATATATTATATATATAATACATAATATATGTAATTTTTTTGATTTGGTTAATTTTGTTACTAAAATATGTTTTGTAAATATGTATCTAATACATTTTTATAATTAACTGGGCACTATACATTTTATATAATTTTTCACTCTATATAAGTATATAAATATTTATTTAAAAAAATCTTTATATATTTAAGTATCTTATAAATCAATACAATTATGTGCTTTTCCTATCACAAATACTAAAAAATAAAATTTTTTTCTTATGTATATAGATTTGTATTTTATTTATACATATTAAAAATTATATACAATGGTGGTCATAGAAATGCAAATTGGTTCTGGACAGTCTCGCAGAAAATCACTCTGATTTTTCTTTTTTCAAATTAAATATAATTAAAAACAATTGTTAACTGATAGAATATAAATATATGAGGGCTAATAGAGGTCTTTTTATTTCCATGATTACCACCGTCTAAAACATACATAATTCTATATATATATATATGTATAGATAACAATAAATATATGAAAAATTTTTTATAATAAAATAATTAAATTTTTTTCCTTTTTCTATATTTTATAAAATTTTTTTTTTAATTTCTTTCTCATTTTTTATTTTTAATTATAATTTATTGTCAAAAAAAAATGTTGTAGTTACACCAATGGTAGAATGTCGAACGACTAGTAAAATTTTGATTGACATTTTTAAAATATTCACCACATCGGTTTTTAATTATAAAGAGAAAAATTTTAAGCTATGCTTGTTCTTCTCTTCTAATAAATATTTTGTTTTTAATTTATATTTACTGTTATATAAAACATTTCTACTTACATATTGTATTAGAAAATATAAATTCTTATTCCAAAATTCATCATTATTTTTTTGATTTTCAATTTCCCACAATAATATTGTTTTTATAAAATAACTTTTTAAGTTATTTAAATTTCTTCGATCACGTAATTTTTTTATAATTTTTATTATTTTAATAACATTTGTTTTATTTAAAAATAATGGACGTTCAGCATCAACATTTGATATTACAAAACTATTATTAATTAAATTTAAATTATTATTATTTAAAATTTGAATTTTTTTAAATGGTTTTGGTATTAATACAAAAATATTTTCATTTAATTTTTCATTCTTATTATTTTTATTTGATTGTGGTGAATTACGTAAATTATTAAACCATTTATTTTCATTAAATGCAATTGCTGGTACAAAATCAATTGATAATTTTATATTCTTATATTTTATAAATAATGTATTAGCTGGTCCAGATTTTTTATATTTTAAAATTTTTATATTACCATAAATTGTTTTAATTATACGATTTTTAAAATATTTCTTTAATATTATTGTAAATAATGATTCATACCAACCAGATATTTTATTTTGTATTAAATAGCCATTTGAATCGGTTAATTGTTTAAAATGTTTATATATTAATTTTGAATTATCATCATTTTTTAATAATTCTAATAAATTTTTAATATTTATTTGTGCATAACCTGGTAAATTTTCATTATATATAATTTGAAAATAATTATTTAAGAAATTTTCAAATTTTATACAAATAAGTATATCGAATTCATCTGGTTTATTAATTTTTAATTGATCTGGATAGCTACCAGCTAAAATTGAATTATAATAAAATTTTTTAAATATTGGATCAATTTTACACATTTTTTTAATTATTATATTAGTAATTTCATTAAATATTGTTGAATAAATAATTTTATCATCTTGTTTTAATGTTATTAATTCATTAATTGTATTCAAATGTTGACTTTTAATATCCATTATTTTATTTTTCTTCGAAGATCTTTTATAATATATATTAATGATGAATATATATATATATATATATATATATATGTATAAACTGAAATATATAAATAATTTTTTTTAAATTTAATTGATTTTGATTTTTTTCGAACACACAAAAATTTTTAAATTAAAATGATTAACCTTAACAAACCCACTTCATTAATATTGTTAATTATTTTTAAAATTATTACAAAATTATTATTATGAAAAAAAAATTGTAAAAAATTTGTCATATTAATAACAAATAATTTCTCTTAAAAATAATTATATTCATTAGGATCTTATAAGCAGGTTTTATTTCCCCCGTGAAAATCTACATATTCCTATCATAAATATGTTCTTAAATCCCGTTATTTCCCCCGTATTAGTATTATATATCATGCATATATATATATATACATTTATATATATATATATATTAATTATAATTGTTCAAAATATTAATGATCAAAATTCAAAAATCTTTAAAAATAATTTTAGTATATATACATACATGCGTTTATTTAAATATTAATTTTAGACTAATAAATGAGTGTTATATTATTGTATAAGTAAGTATTTTACTCATATTGCAATATATATACTAGATTAAAATTAATATTAAAAAATAATTACAGAAATTTTTTGTATAATGATCATTTAAAATTCATATATATATATATATATATCCAGATAAAACTTTATTTAAATTATTATTTTCGATTATAAGAATTATTCATATATATACATCACACACACATATATATATATATATATATATATATATACATATATATATGTATATATACAAAAAATATAGTAAATACTAAGGAAAAAATTATTATGAAAATTAAAATTGAAGTCCTACATATAAATTTAAATTAAACTGTAATATATGAAATTGAATATTAAAATCTATAAGTGTTATATGTATATTATGTAGGTATAAATTCTATTGATGTGAAAACGGTAACACCATGGTGTTAAAGGCAATTTTTTCAAATAAATCAACGAACTAATTCTTTTAATTGAGTGATTAATTGGCGCTATTGTCAGTAATTGTTTTTAATTTAAAATAGCGCCAAAAATTTTTTTCTATATATATCAATCACACTATATAAATTAAATACACAATTGCAACACTTAAAATTCAAATTAAAAAAAAAAAAATAAATGCCATTTTTTAAATAATAAACAAAATCAAATTAAATTAAGATAAGCTAAATTGAAATTCAAAATTTTCTTGTATAACACTTTTTGATTGTCAAGTGTTATACCAGAAAAAAATTAACAAAAATGAAATTTCGAAATGAAAAATTTTTTTAATATTTATTAAATTGTAAAATAAAATTAGTAAGAAATTGTTATATAAGGATGCCAAGTTGCCACAATTTAAAAATTTTTTTATTTAATTGTTATTAGTAAATAATGAAGTGGGTCCTTTAAGGATATTAAAAATATATTAATAAAATTCGTGTTAAAATTTTCTAATTTCCAAATAAAATTTTAATTATGGGGCCAATAATTTTTAAAAAATTCAATTTTACTCACTAAATTTTAAAATAAACTCAATTTGGAAAATAAAATAAATTTAATAAAATAAAAAAATTTTAAATTTCTAATTAATTATTAAAATTATTTTTTATTTTCAATTATTGTTAATATTATTAATTATTAAATTTATAATTAAATTAAAATTATTTTTAAAAAAATTTTTAATATCTTTATTTTTTAATTTTATAAATCAATTTTTTTTTTTTATTTCTTAATTATTTTTATTTTAAATTAAATTATTAATTGTTAATATATTATTGTGTTACACTTTTAAAATTCAATTTTAAAATGATAACAACTAATATGTTGAGCTTCCTTAAATATATTCCTATCAATCCTTAACGCATAAAATCCCATTTTAAATGAAAACGAATTTGAATTTTAGAGTAAAAACCGAATATCATTTAGATTTGTACATAAAAATACAGTCAACATAAAAATTATTCATCATCAATTTTAATATCAACATTATCTGAAACTATTATACAAATACAAAATCATATAACACAATCATATAGAAGTAATCAGTAAGTAATAAGAAATCAATTGAAAATTTTTACTCTAACGTTATCAAAATCTTTGATATCCGGTTAAACTGTATAACACATAAGGTACTTTAAAAAAGGAAAAAATATTTTTTAATATTATTTACCATTTCATTAATGTGCTTTAAAATTTAATTGAATTAAAATGATTAATCACATATACATATATACAATATTATTATAACAATTTTATTATTAAAATTAAATTTTCTTCTTCTATATTTCAGTTTTCTATAAAATTATAAAATTTTTGGTTATACTAATAGTTTATAATTATAATGAAAAAGGAACTGTTATACCAAGAATAGAAAGAGTTATTGGACATTTATAAGTACGATTTTTAGATGGTTTTTCTTGACCTTAAAAAAAGAAAATTATTTTTCTTTTTCTTGGAAAATTCTGATAGTGTTGTGCAAAATATTTTTGCAATGAAAAGGCGGTCGAAAATTATTTGTAATGAAAAAGGTGACACGGAGAACACGGATGGTTGGCTTATCATATGCAATTCGATAAGATAAATTTTTTTTTTTATCAATTTCTTGAGGATTAAAAATGGAAAGCCTTGAAAGCCTTTTGTTTTCTCTTTCCCCCCTTTGATTTTCCATCTATAAAATGATGAAGATTTTAGTTATAGTAACTATTTTGGTCACGTACAATGTAACATTTATTTTGCTCTACGTACTAAATTCTTGTATACTGTAATTGTCTGATATAATTATATTAAGAGTTGAATTAAAAATAAAACATTTTATAGTTGAAATAATCACATATTTTTTTTAATATTTATTACAATTTTTTTCTTATTTTATAAATAATAATTATAAAATTTTAAATTTTTTTCATATTGAATATTTAACAATATGTACATAATATATTCAGACACATTTAAAGATTCCAAATTTAATTATACTTCAAAAAATAATTAATTAAATATTAAATTTTAACTCTTATAATATAAATTCATAATGTTATATTCCTTAAATAATTAAAAATATTATTTACAATATTGATGTTTGACATTTTACAAATATCCTAGATTTTAAATATATGCAACATACATATGACAATAATAACAATGTATATAAACATTTTTCAGATGATACCGGCAATATACATGAGCCTTAATATCGTACAATACCACAATTATTATGATTAGTTTTAAATTATTGATTGATGAACAAAATTTGATCCATTCTGTAAAATATTGAAAATAAAATAAAAGATTTAGTATATAATTATAATTAAATAAATAAATATGTATGTATATTACTTATATAAAATATTTTAAATTAAAGGGGTAATTTTTAAAATATTTTCTTAGTATTCAAAAATAAAGAAGAACAAAATTATAACATGAAAATTGAAAAAATTCAATAAAATTTTCTAATTTCCCCAAAACTATAAAGAATATCTAAAATAAATATTTATCTTTCTCTCATTCAAAATGTATAGAGCATAAATTTATTGGGGAATAACCGAGATCTCTTTTTATACTCAAATAATAATAAATTTGAATAGGATTAATGAGAAATTGTGAAAAACTTTTGAAATTTTTTTATTTTAATCGGCGTTAATATTATGTATACACACGCCAATACATTGAAAATTGTATATTTACATTCATAAAATATATATAATAATTTTTGAGAGAATAGAATTAATTATGTTGCAAGTATATTATATAGTCGATTCTTCGCACTCATGTCTTATATAACATTCCCTGCTCAATTTTTGATTTTTACAGTAATATCGAACTTTACAGTTATTATATTATAATACGTACTATATACAATTGTATGACATATAAAAATATATAATAATTTCTCTCAAATATTGTGAACTTTGTATCTGTATAAATACTGTTAATGTACTTATAATAAAGTATTAAGCGCGTGCCTATTATACGTACTGCCTTATAAATGTATATTCCACTTTATATGATTTATACTGTTATTGATAATATAAAAGATTGCGTTCTTAATCGTATTTTTGTTTTTTTTTTGCTATTTCATATTAAAATATGAGAAAATTTGAGAATAATTTTTTTTTTGTTGAAATAATTTC